TAATAAAAATGTAATGCATCATAGGGTCTTACATAATCTCTCAGAGAGGGGGGGGAAGGGAGAGAAAGGGAAAGAGACACACAGAGGGAGAGAGAGACAGAGAGAAAGAGACAGAGAGAGAGACACACACAGAGAGAGACACACACAGAGAGAGAGACACACACACAGAGAGAAAGAGACAGAGACACACAGAGAGAGACACACACAGAGAGAGAGACAGAGAGAGAGAAAGAGACAGAGACACACAGAGAGAAAGACAGACAGAGAAAGAGAGAGTCAGACAGAGAGAGAGAGAGAGAGACAGACGGACAGACAGATAGACAGACAGACAGACAGACAGACAGACAGACAGACAGACAGACAGACAGAGACAGAGAGAAATTTCGGAAGAAAAGTTAGTATAAAATGCTTGTTTCCAGCAGTCCTTCTTAATTCTTGCCTGCTGATGTAAACCCTGTTGTAATTTGCTGGTGCAGCAGTTTGAAGACTGAAGCGTGAACAAATTTTATCAAGGGTTTTTTAAAAAATTATTCCGAAGATAGTGATGTATCTCTAGCATGCTGACTGTAAATAGAAAGATGATATACATCTGCACTTTTCCCTATAGGAGAAAAGTAATATTTTACACTGCAGACATTTGTCTCTTTGTGGTCCTGAATCTTAGACATGATGATGTCCAGGGCCATCTCATCCCTCCCGGGTAAGATGGCAAGATAAATCCCCAATGCCCGCTAAGGAGAAATGTAACTGTAAGCAACAGCATGGGAAAAACAAGCTGGTCTGATGCATTTTTATAATTGACTTATGCTAGAAAAACTACAGTTACCAGCAGTGTAGTTCAGTGTTGTGGAAAAAAATTCCCTCTTTTTTTCTACAAATTTTCATTGACGTTTGTAGCAGGAAATTCATTTTAGAAATGCTTCTCAAAGGGGAAGAGAATGTTATTGAAATCCTTATGGGCAATACTTGTTACTGATATAGTAAAGGGATATGTGCCCATTGCTGGTTTTCTTTCTACAGGCATTTCTCCAGGGTTTATTTTATTTATTTATTTATTTTATTAAATTTATATACCGTCCTACTCCCGAAGGACTCAGGGCGGTGAACAGCCATAGAATAAAACATATAAATACAAAATTTAAAATAGACTAAAACGAATTAAATAATTTGGCTGAACAAATTTAAAACCCCAATAATTTAAAACCAAATTTAAAATTTCCATTTTAAAAGGGGAAAGACTTAGGTCAGGCCGGCTTGATGAAATAGGAAAGTCTTGAGCGCGCGACGGAAGGTACGCAGATCTGGGATCCTCCGTATCTCCGGGGGGAGCTCGTTCCAGATAGTAGGTGCCCCCACAGAGAAGGCTGTCCCCCTGGGGGCTGCCAGTCGACATTGTTTGGCCGATGGCACCCGGAGGAGCCCCTCTCTATGAAAGCGTACCGGCCGGTAGGAGGCTATTGGTGATAGCAGGTGGTCCCGTAAATAACCAGGTCCTAAGCCATGGAGCGCTCTAAAGGTGATAACCAAAACCTTGAAGCACATCTGGAAGACCACCGGGAGCCAGTACAGCTCGCGCAGGAGAGGTGTTACATGGGAGCGCCACGTCGTTCCCGTCACCACCCGCGCGGCCGCACTCTGCGCCAGTTGGAGCCTCCGAGTGCTCCTCAATGGGAGCCCCATGTAAGCAATCCCCTTGGATTTTCCTAGCAATGACATCAGTGGCTGTGAGATTCCATTGATTAATTGTTCTCACTATTAGGAAATTTCTCTTTTGTTCTCAGTTGTAGCTTTTGTTTAATGATTTTCTACCTGTTACTTCTTGTCCTGCCCTCAGGGGCTTTGGAGAATAAGTTGACTCCCTGTTCTCTGTGACAGCCCCTCAAGAACTGGAAGTCTACTGTCATATCACCTCTAGTCATTGTCTTCATTAGATTAGATCAGGGGTGTCAAACTCGCATCATCACATGATGTAGTGTGACTTTTTTTCCAATGGTGGAATTTATTTATTTTTTTACTACCAGTTCTGTGGGTGTGGCTTGGTGGGCATGGCAGGGGAAGGATACTGCAAAATCTCCATTCCCACCCCATCCCAGGGGAAGGATACTGCAAAATCTCCATTCCCTCCCCACTCCAGGGGAAGGATACTGCAAAATCCCCATTCCCTCCCCAGTCCTGGGGAAAGGATATTGCAAAATATCCATTCCCACCCGACTCAGGGGTCAGACAGAGCTGGTATTTGCCGGTTCTCCGAACTACTCAAAATTTCTGCTACCGGTTTTCCAGAACCTGTCAAAACCTGCTGAATAGCACCCCTGCTTTTTTTCCCCTAACCGTAAACTTGGCATGGGCATGGCGAGCACATGATGCATCCAGCCCATAGGCTGTGGGTTTGACACCCTGGTTAGATATATCTAGTTCTCTCAATATAAATGAAGTTCCACCTGCTTTTTATTGCATCACAATGGAGTTTGTGAGGCATGCAAAGTAGGAGGAGTTTCGATCATATCATGATTGGCACTATCTTCATAGTTTTTGACCATACCCTGCGGACCACACCCTGAAATATTCACGTTAGACTTCCTTGCATGGGATTTCTTCTGACTGAGGAAATGCAGGCAGCTGGAAGACTTTGGAACAACAGAAAGGTGCATAGATTCCAGCAGGAGCATCTGCTGCCATTTTCAACAACTATCAAAGCTTGAAAACACCAATGAGGGAAATGTGGAGAAAAGTTCACAAGCCCCTTAAGAATCAGATAAAAAAAAACAAAAGAATTCAGGAACTGCAAAGCAAATTTTAGCATAGATTAATGCATCCTGTATCTGACCATATCCAACTGTGAGGGAAAAGAAAGGGGAAAGAAAATCTGTTACTTTTGACCTTTCCAAAAGCATATATTAAATTAAACCTACAGGAAATTTAGGACTGAAGACTCTACAAATTATTCTTCGAAACTCTATACTAACCAACTGTAACACATTCTTAGGGAAGTATTAAATGGTAGATATACTTGCAGTCTACGTGAAATGAGCAATGTCCTGTCATGTTACAGAAGAAAAATCATTGAACTGTAAGTGAGAAAATTCATGCTGCCTATCTCTGGCCAGTCCTTTTTCCAAATCTGCTGATAGATAGGGGAAAAAAAAGAAAAGGTCTTTTGGGAGAGGTGATCACAGGGTACAGTCAAATTAAACATGGTGGCTGAATGATGTAATTGAAACTCAGGTGGAGCAAATCATATATTCTCTGTGAAAGCCCCTCAAGTACTGGAAGTTTACTATCATATCACCTCTAGTCTTCTTTCTTTCTTTCTTTCTTTCTTTCTTTCTTTCTTTCTTTCTTTCTTTCTTTCTTTCTTTCTTTCTTTCTTTCTTTCTTTCTTTCTTCAATTTGTATGCCGCCCCTCTCCAAAGACTCAGGGCGTCTGAGATTAGATCAGGGGTGTCAAACTCGCGTCATCACATGATGTAATGTGACTTTTTTTTCCAGTGGTGGAATTCAATTTTTTTTACTATCAGTTCTGTGGGCGTGGCTTGGTGGGCATGGCAGGGGAAGGATACTGCAAAATCTCCATTCCCACCCCACTCCAGAGGAAGGATACTGCAAAATCTCCATTCCCTCCCCACTCCTGGGTGAAGGATCTTGCAAAATCCCCAACAGTGTTGAGGGAATTATTTGTTTAGCAGAGTGATGGCGTTGGGGAAAAACTGTTCTTGTGTCTAGTTATTCTCTATAGCGTTGTTTTGAGAGTAGAAGTTGAAACAGTTTATGTCCAGGATGTGAGGGGTCTGTAAATATTTTCACAGCCCTCTTTTTGACTCATGCAGTATACAGGTCCTCAATGGAGGGCAGATTGGTAGCAATTGTTTTTTCTGCAGTTCTAATTATCCTCTGAAGTCTGTATCTGTCTTGTTGGGTTGCAGAACCAAACCAGACAGTTATAGAGGTGCAGATGACAGACTCAATAATTCCTCTGTAGAACTGAATCAGCAGCTCCTTGGGCAGTTTGAGCTTTCTGAGTTGGTGCAGAGAGGACATTCTTTGTTGTGCTTTTTTGATGTTTTTGATGTTAGCTGTCCATTTTAGATCTTGCGATATGGTAGAACCTAGAAATGTGAAGGTCTCTACTATTGATACTGTGTTGTCTAGTATTGTGAGAGGTGGAAGTATGGAAGGGTTTCCCCTAAAGTCTACTACCACTTCTATGGTTTTGAATGCATTCAGTTCCTCTGAAGTATCACTGGAGTTTGCAGATGCTTAAAATATTTATCAGCCCAGGCAAAGACAAACCTGTTTAATACCAAGTGCAACTTCTATTGAGTCATCAAATTGTTCTTATTGCACATTAAAACCAAGAGGAGCTTCAATCACAGTGTTGTAGTCACCACCTTGACTTTTTTTTTTGACCATTTCTTGCAGACACCTCTGTCTTTGGGTTTGGTGTCAGCATTTAATATCCTTGAGGCACATTTCTCCTGCAAAGCTACATCTCTTACAAGACTTTCAATGTAAAAATCCGCACCTTGAGATATAGCTACATGCATTCCAGGATACCAAGGATCTTACCAATTGTAACTGAACAAGTAAACTGGTGTGTATGAACAATACCTGTTCCAAATTCCAGGATGAGAAATGGGGATTGCCACCAGAGTGCTGACTTTAGTCATTGCCAACTGAACACTCATGAGGTGACTAGGGATGGACAAGAAGAACTAGAAAGCAGGAAGATCAGCCATTCTGAGACAAGGAGAGCAGAGATGTTATCAAAGTGTTTTCCAATGGCCCTTCAATTGCTATTCAGTATCTCCACACTGAGCCTCAGGGGTTTGTTCATTATTATGTACTAACTGATAACCCGGCGTTGCCTGGGTACTTATTTATCCCAATCCTGTATTAGACAGGAAGAGCAACTTCACCCTGAGCTCTGATTTCGGCGAGAATTAAATTAGTTTAAAATGTTTTCCCTGTGCCCCCAGAAGCATCAAGTAAAATGATACCACCTTGTTTTTTGCTAGCTGATCCAAGATCATTCGGTATGATTTTGTCCCTGTTATATGCACTAAGATGTTCAACATTGTAGTTCTTTTCTTGTATATAATCTGCGTGAAGTATGTCAATCTCGTAGTGGTGCAAGCAGGCCAAGTTGCAATAATGTTTTCTTGATCATGGCCATAATTTTTCCTCAAGAATAATCAAAGCCTTCTTGAAAATGACCGGACTAAGTGTAATTTCTAATGTTGGATTTTCCCCCTTACCAGAGGGAGCCCCCTTGTGGAGTACTGTGAAGCTGTTACCATGGCAACTCCATTGTGCTGCACAGTAGAATCCATTTTAAAGCAGTATAGTAGACGCCATTTTAAGGCACAACAGGCTGTATCTTAACAGAACACATACCCCCAAGGGGTGTTAGGGGTGTCTTACCCACACAGTATTTTTTTCCAGTGAGTAAGTCATCTGTGTACCAAGTTTGGTTGAAATTGCTCTAGGTGTTCAGAGTTATGCTGGAACATACACACAGCCATTTTTATATAGATAGACAGGTACCTGAGACTGCTAGTTGATTAAGCACTGTGGCTCAGCATCTACTGTATCACCTTGAATGCTTTAGAGCAGGATTTGCCAACTTTGGCTTCTTTAAGACATGTGGACTTCAGTCCACATGTCTTAAAGTTCCCAAGGTTGAGAAACTCTTCTTTAGAGCAAAGCTCTTTTGGCCTCCTGATGCCAGTTCTCCAGGAATGCCCCTTTGGTCTTCTGGGTGATTCCACTTTAATTTGTTCACTCTACTCAGCTAACTTGCTAAAAACTGTATGATTTTTAATAGCAAAACTTTTATGAATATTGCATGGATGTTCATAGACCTCCAGGTCAGAAGGTCAAAGAGATGTTTATTTAAGACAGAATTGCATGTCATAGAGATACAACATCTTGTTAATTTTGTAAGATAAAAAAAATATCTCATTTTAATTTTTAGGCATCTGTTTCAGTTTTATGCATCTATTAATATTTCATATGCCTGGTGTAAGAAAGAAGAGCTAAAAGAAGATCTTTGACAATGTATTTTAACAGTTTGTGAAAAGTTAACCTCTATAAAAAATTGCAACCAAGAGAGGGTTTTAATTATTCACTTACTTATATGTTGATAATACATAATATAAAGCTGACAGACACTATATTTTGTGAATATTTTGGCAGGGTCAAAAGCACATATGCCCTTCTAAAGAATGCATTCAGGCAGAAAAGGGAAAAAAGTAAATAAGGACAGATTGTTTAATGGTATTTTTACATATATACAGTATAATAATCATGCATTTTATTTTTAAACAGCATCAAGTGTACAGCCAGTAAGATCTGAGTTAAATTACAGGTAGTCCTCGGTTTATCACCACAACTGATTCCAACATTTCTGTTACTAAGCGAGGAAGTTATTCAGGGAGTATCATCTTAATTGTATGACCTTTCTTGCTACAGTTGTTAAGTGAATCATTGTAGTTGTTAAGTTAGTAACATTGTAGTTAACATTGTAGTAACATTGTAGTAACATTGTAGTTAACGCTGTAGTTAACGTAGTTAATGTTGTAGTTAATGTTGTAGTTAACGCTGTTAACATTATAGTTGTTAAGTTAGTTAAGGGAATCTGGCTTCCTCATTGACTTTGCTTGTCAGGAGGTCACAAAAGATGATCCTATAACCCTGGGAAACAGCAACCGTCATAAATATGAATCAGTTGCCAACAATCCAAATTTTGATCACATGACCATGGGGATGTAACTTTGAACAGTCTCTAAATGAATGGTTGTAAACTGAGGACTATAATATGTATGCCAAATCAATTAACTCTGATACAACATAGTATATACATGGCATTAATCTATTATTATTATTTATTATTATTTAGCGTATGATGAGAACATGACAGAAGAGAAGTAAACATATACTTGGATGTCTAATTCAGCTGTCCAGCTAATCGCCTCTGGCATTGCTTCGTGCAATTCTTCTATGGCAGGGGTGTCAAATTTTAGGCCTGTGGGCCAGATATGGCCCACGGGGTGCTTTGATCTGGTCCATGGGACCGCCCTGGAAACAGCGAAGGACCTGTCCATGGTGGCTCTGCCAGCGAAAACAGAGCACAGGAGTGCTGCATGAGGCCTTCCCGAGCTCTCTTGTCAGCTGCGACAGTCAAAAACGGAGTCCGGGAGGACTGCGTGCAGGCGGCAGGACGTCCAGCTGGCCACACCCATCCTGGCCATGCCCACTTGCTGCCCCCCCACCCCGAGGTCAAACACAACCGTGATGCAGCCCTCAATGAAATTGAGTTTGACACTCCTGTTCTATGGAACCAGAGAGCCCACGTTGTAGGCAATCTTGCACAGTATGTTTAATATATGATATGATATGATGTGTTTGGGTTTGAGAGGATTCACTCAACTCAACTAAGCTTGGTCTACTTCAGCAAATTTATTGTTAACCAAATTCAAGCTCAGTATCACATTGACCCTTATCATAGTTGAGTGAATATTTTGATTTTAATTTGTATTTATTTCCATGTTTTAATTTGGCATTATATGTATTCACTTTATAAAAGACATTTAAAGTTGACAATATTTATTTATTTATTTATTTATTTATTTATTTATTTATTTATTTATTTTCTGTCCATCTCGTATCAAAATGACTCTGAGAAGCTTACCACATTTGTGTTGTAAATTGTTCTCCTATAACAATTTATGTTATAAATATTTTTTACAAAAGCTTCAAAAGAACGGTGAATGAATATGTAACGATCATTTTTAAATAGAGGGTTGTGCAACGTAACATCTGGTAATGGATGATACTGGCATGTTATGATTAAATGCATTGAGACCACACTTCTGCATACATTTAACCAGGAACAAATCCCATTTCAATCAACAGGACTTATTTCTGAACAGCTATGAGTAGCATCAAAAGAGATGTAATTTATAGCTTCAAGGTTATTTATTACAAGTTGTCAAGGATCTACTCAACCTAACCACAAACCCAAGGTACACACAAATATAAAAAGTGTCTTACAATCCAGTTAAGCAATTTCTGAGTACAGACCCAACATCCGTTTCAGATTCTCCAAGGCTGGCAAGCGGCAGAACGTGCTGATGTCATCACATGGGCAGCCAGGAAACCTCTTCTGCGTTTTCATAAAAGAAATACATATGTATGCAAACACAAATGTTTGCTTCAAGTGCTCTTAAAGAGAGAGTTCAGCCACTGAAAAGCAGTTCAACAGGAAACATTATGAAGGAAGTGTGAATTAGGTTAGTTAATCTGACCTATTTACAACTCCTACTTTCAGGTTCAAGTACCGTATTTTTCGGCATATAAGATGCACCGGAGTATAAGACACACCTTAGTTTTTGGGGAGGAAAATGGGGGAGGGGTGGAAATTCTGCCTACCAAATATTCATCTGGCTAGCATCCTTAGCCTGGTTAGCTTCAGCACATTAGTTCTCTGGTTTTGAGTGCTCAACACATCTTGTTAGGGCTGGAAAAAAGCTTCTAAAGCACAGCTGATCATCGGAGGGAGCTCCAGTGAAGCTCAGAAGAGGTAAGACAAGGCAGCAGCTGTTCCAGGTAGCCATTTTGGGCACCGCGCATCGCATTTTAAGTCTCCAAACAGGTCACGTTTTCAGGCGGCGATCAGCGGTGATGTGCTTTGGTGATCCCCGCAGCCTTGAAGGGCTCTCAAATGGAGGATTTGGAGGTTGAAAATGCAATGCATAGAGCCCAAAAACACAAGCCATTGTTGGTGGCAATCTCTGCAGGCAGGACGAGGTTGCACGGAGGCTGAAGGGTGGGGGCTGATGGGTGAGCGGGGCTACATTAGGAGTATAAGATGCGCCCAAATATTCAGCCTCTTTTAGGGGGGGGAAGTGAGTCTTATACTCCGAAAAATACGGTAATTCTACCTCTTTAAGCGTGGCCAAATTTTGTCCTGTAGTACGTCGGTGTGCAGCAGTTTGATTGATACACTCACCCAATTAATTCATTAATTCATTCATACAGTCATTGACTGAAATAAAGAATCTACTGAAGACTTTAGTACAGTTACCTAGTAGAATTTTGAACAAGAAAAAAAATTGAAAGGAAGCTGTTAGATTGTTTTAAAAAGTAACGGTAGCAATCATAGTGGATATTTCCTGACTTCTGGGTATCAAAGGAAGGAATTAAGGAAGTAATGGTTTCCAATTTATGTAAAATATTGTACAATAAATGCAAAATAAAGAATGCCTCGCAGACAGTTCCCTTAATGACATCCAAATGAGCCTATTTGGCCAAGAAAAGCTAACTTTGCAGAATGTAGCAAGCAATCAGAGACAACTATTACAATCCAGAAGCTTTAAGCATTTTTAACTTGCAGCATGAATATGAAGACAGAAGTGATATTGGGACAGAGGCTGGAACATCGGGAGCAAGAGAAGCTGGCTTACCTTGACCAGATTCACAGGCTATATCAAGATTGTTTTAATCATGATTTGTAAACTATCTGTCCAATCGCTTTTCCTATTGTAGACCTGGTTGTCTCTAAAATCATCAGGGAAAAGAAGCTGCTACATATGCTAAGGGCTATATTATCTTTTGGTGGCAGCTTCTGGGTGGGACTTCTCTGTGGCGGGAGAGGCAAAACTCTTCTTGCCGACATTTAGAATAGAATGAATGAGCTGGAAGGGACCTTGGTGGTCTTCTAGTCCAGCCCCCTGCTCAAGCAATTACTGCAGGTTCGAATCTTGCCAAGGCTCAAGGTTGACCCAGCCTTCCATCCTTTCTAAGGTAGGTAAATTGAGGACCCAGTTGTGGGGGCAATAAGCTGACTTTGTATAAATATACAAAAGGATGAAGGCTATTGCTGAGCACATTGTAAGCCGCCCTGAGTCTTCGGAGAAGGGCGGCATATAAATCAAATTAAAAAAAAAAAAAAAAGCAGGAGAACCTATAGCATTTCAGATAAGTGACTGTCTAGACTCTTCTTAAAAACATCCAGTGATGGAGCATCCACGATTTCTGGTGGCAAGCTGTTCCACTGGTTAATTGTCCTCACTGTT